AWTYCATAGCTTACCGCCCCCAGAGTCAGGGACAAACCGAAAAATTTAATGGTACTTTAATCGATATGATAAGTCATTTTGTACAGGAAAAAACAAATCACTGGAATCAATATTTAAAATATGTACTCTTCGGATACAACACATCGGTCAATGAAACAAAAAATCAGTCTCCATTTTATCTATTGCACGGCTATCACCCAAAATCAATTTTCGATTATAATCTTATTAGCACAGATACAGCACCAGCAATTTTAAACGAATTAGAAAAATTAAAGAACATAAGAGACGAGTTACCAAAATTACTGGAGGAAAAGTTTCTAAAAAATAAAAAACATTATGATTCACATAAAAAACAAATAAAATTTGTAGTAGGAGAAAAAGTATTAGTTAAGTTAGAAAATAAAGGATCGAAATTTGCATATAGATATCAAAATTATATGACAAATATCAGAGGGTACATATATAGTGGAAATAACCAAGAATGGACAGTTAGTTCATGACTATAAACACGTTAGTCAACTAAAAAAGTTTAAAAGTCGATAAAATAAAGAAATAACATAGGTAAGAAAAACAGTTAAACGCATTATATATATTTTAAGTTTGATATATTGCATATTAGTATAAATATATATTTTRGGTATATAKTAATTAATATTAGATATATAATATATAACCACAGAATTGTTTAGAATATAAGGAGATCGCACTTGATATATTAATAATTTTTTTTTTTGTTATTTGCCAACTGAAATGTAATATCCAAGAATTCACAATACATCATAATGCTAAAGAGGTCTCGATTTAGGACTATAAAATATCAAATTAATATTTAATAATATGACTAATATAGTAATATGAACTGTTATATGTAAATGAATGAGAATAATAATAATAATTAACAAACGTAGGCTCAATATTTACAAAAAAAATAAACAAAAAAAAAACATACTACCGATTACTGAAGCATTTTAACAGTATAGACAAGAATCAGTCTTAATAATGAATAGTATAGAAACGGTCATACAACGAAGTCTTCAAACTACACACCATACAAGCAGCATAGAATAATCATAATTTGATAACTCGGTGAGTAAAATAGCTTATCATAAATACTAGTATATTTATCTATTTATTCAGAGTTTTACTTAGTTACTTACCTATCTATTTTTTGTTACGGTTAAGATTTACCGACCAGAAAAAGTTAAAACAATTAACATGAAATTAATAATAATTACATTTATGGTATTTGAGTTAACTAAGGGAAATCCAAATTTTTTTGAGAATAAACAATTCACTATCAACCCAGGTATTTATTTCGAGAATATATCCCCACTACAAATAGCTATTTCTCAATGGAATTTTTTGACGTTTCATAATATTTCGAATTACGAAAGTAGTTATGAGTTCATAAATATATATTTTAACAGATTTAAACTAATTTGCCCAAAATTTGAAAATAAATCAACAGACATTAATGATATATGTATAMATTTAAAAAAAATTAACGCAGTACTATTAGACAAAATTAATGAGGAAAGAGATGTTCTACAACAATATTTAAATATAGATAAAAAATATAATGTAAACCCTAAGAACTATAGAACAAAACGAAGCTCATTTTTCGGGGGGATTGGAAAATTACAACGAGCCCTATTTGGAGTTTTGACTGAGGAAGAGGGTGAAGAATACCAAAATAAAATTAGAATTTTGGCAGAAAAACAATTAAAACACTTTTAATTCAGAAAGATCAAATTAAAATTTTTGAAAATACTCTTGATTCAGTGACAACAATTTCGTCAGATTTTGCTAAAATTTAAAATAATATGAATAACTATATAAATTAAATAAACTTCGAAGTGTATAGTCAAAAGAAAGAATTAAAGATATACTAAATATAACGAACTAAATATAAAGGAATATAATATATTATTATGTTATATAACTCAATATACAATGAGCTTATCAAT